TGACCATATTGGCGCCATTTTTCTGGTTCCTCCGCGCGCCGCCATCCTGGTGACGATTCTGGGGGGTCCATCCATCGGGTTTCTTATAGCACAAAACCCAGGGGTGCCCCTCCTTCTCACAATACCAGCAACTCCCTTTCATTTTGCCACCAGCACCCGACTTGCCCCCACGTCCAGATTTCGCACCGCGACCCCAACCGGTACCTCCTTGTTGGTCGTTGGAGTCGTCGTCTTTCTTTGCACCGCGTCCAGCACCACCGAAGCCACGTCCTTTGGCACGTCGGCTCCCTTGCATCCCGTAGCCGCTGCTGCCGTCGTCTCCACCCCTCAGTTGACGGCGACGGAAGTCCTCTAAAATCTTTGTCCACACCCACTCGAGTGTCCACGAGCTCTGGTTCTGCGGCAGGCTCAATCCGCTCGTAAATTGAAGCCACGATTCCGGCAGCAGCGAGAGCATCTTCAGGCACTTGGTCTGCTCCGGGTAGGAGATTCCGGCGGTCGCCAACTTCGCGTAGAGGTCGCGCAATTTGTCCAGGACAGGTTGCACCGGCTCTCCCTCGCTCAGGTGCAACGCGGACAGCTCCCTCTCCAGCATCAATGTTGCAACAACGGAGGTCGGGGCGTGCAGCTCCTTCAACACGGTCCATGCCTTCGGACCGCACTCAACCTCCGGCAGCAGGTGCATGACGTGGTGACGCTGGTTCAGCTCCAAACTCTGCGACATCAAGTAGTAGCCAGCCGAGGCACGCTCGTCCCAATCTTCCTGAAGGGCGGGGTCACTCGGTCTAGGCTCCTCCCCAATCATTAGTTTCAGCAAACCGATCTGACGGAAATAAAGTTGCATTTTCCAGGCCCAATCATCATAGCATTCACCATTGAACTTCTCGACGGTGAAGTTTTTCAGCACCTCCTTGATCAGCGAGCCCTGGCTTGTTCGCGCTCCCCTTGGCGCAGAAACACCAGAATCTTGGCTGCCGCTACGATCTTGGGCTGAAGATTCACCAGCTACCGCCGAGGTGTTGCCCGTCATAGCTACCTATAAGGAGGATCACTATAACATAGCTCTGATTCCAGCTTGTTGGTGTAAGGGCCTAATAAACTCAAGCTATTAAGACTTTATCAAACTTAAAACCTCTCCTCGGGGTCACCTCCAAGGGTCCTTGGGTGCCTGATACAAGACCAGCCCCTATCCTCGGGTCCGAGTTTGTAGAGAGAGGGATCAAGAGGGACTAAGTCAAAACAGCAAGAGTACCTTGAGCGTCGCGCAGCGTATCGTGCAGACCGTCGATCGGATTAAGCTGAGAATTTCCTATATCGAAGCTCACTCTAAGAGCTTTAAAATAAGCCAAATTGCATCGCGAAAAGTTATGGCTCGGACAGCGTTAGCCTAGCGTTGGAGTGCTAGCGTACTAGCGTTGACTCGGGTAGCATTCCGCCGTCGCACCGCGTAGAAAGGAAATTCCAGCAAGGAAGGAATTCGCTTGAATCAATTTCACTATATCCAGGTACAAAGAGAGAAAGAATAAATAGTTCTAGCTAGCAAGGACCTTCGGAATGAACCTGGGAACAACCAAGGATGATCCCAAAATTTTCCAAGCAACAGAACCAACCTGACTGGACAAAACAGCAGGTGGTAGGTTGGTAAACAACCTCTGGTTCTGTTTTTCCAACCTGGGAAAACAACAACCAGGTTCAGGTCCTAAAAACAGAACCTGTTATGTCTTTGCCCAACCAGCCAAATGCTGGTTCCGCTGGTTTCCCCTGGCCCTGTAGCATGCAGATACAGACAAAAAACATCCAACCTTCACCTAAATTGTACCCGTATAGTGCCTGCCCTGCTACACTATAGTCAACCAAACAAAACAGTACAATTTCGAGTTGGATAGAACTGAATCTGCGCAATCAAGTAAGCCGAACCGCAAAGCTTCCATCTTGGGTTCCTTTGCAAGCTCGTCCTTTCTGCTTGTACTGTTCATAGCGCGTACAATGTTATGCCGAAGCGCACAATGCGCGAGTACCTGCAAATGCTTCAAGCGAAAATTGCGAAAGCAAACAAACACACGAACATTCCATTCATACCCAAATGCATTCGCACATGCATACTCGTACAAACAGACGGCAGGATGTCGTGCAATGTAATTTGCATCCAACACACTCCCCCTCAGCCTGCCGGCTGCATCCCCATCATTCCATACTAGTTCATGCTCATTACACTCATGCGCACACAAAGCCAATGAGGCTCATCTGCAAGCCTCTTGGTGAGGAAGTCTGCTGGCTGCTGGTAAGTCTTGATGTAGATAGGATTCACCGTCCCCCTCTTCACCTCCTTACGCAACCAGTGCCACTTGATACGCATGTGCTTGTTCAGCCCATGAAGCACAGCGTTCCTGGCCATCCCAAGAGCTCCCTTGCTATCACAAAACAGAGGCGAAGCAACCTTTTGCTCCTGGCCAATCTCCTCCAACAGCCTCCTCAGCCAAATCACCTCCTTCACCCCATGGAACATCGCCACGTACTCCAATTCCACAGAAGAGAGTGCTGTCTCCGTCTGTTTCTTTGACCTCCAACTAACAGGTCCTCCTCCAACTACGCAGATGTATCCTCCCACTGATGAGGAATCCTCCTCAGAGGCCCACGTAGCATCGGTAAAGCAAGTGAGAAAAAGCTTGCCTTCTCCAAGCCTCTCCCCCTTCTCTTTCAGCACCTCAACCCCTTTCTGCTTCACTTGCGCAGATGCAGAGTATTGAACTCCAATGCTTGGGTGAGAGTTCAGATACTTCACCACACGCTCAGCTGCATCCACCTGCTCCTCTGATTGATTCTGCACCACCCTAGCCAGCTGCCCAACCGAAAAAGAGATGTCGGGCCTCGTGTGAACTGCTGCATACAAGAGGCTGCCCACCAAGGACTGAAATTGCTGCTGCTCCTCGGCTTCAACCCCTTCATCCTCTGCAGCTTTCACAAGCTTGAATTCTGCTGGCAGGGGAGTTTCAACCTTGCGCTCATTCTCAATTCCGTACTTCTCCCCAAGCTCCTTGATGAACTTCTCCTGGTGCAGCTTCAACCACCTGTGATCCAGATCCCTCTCCACGTACCTCCCCAAGGTTCTTGCAGTTGAAGTTCTCCATCAGCTGCTGCTGCACCTTCTGGATCTCCTTCATGCTGCTGCTAAAGAGAAAAATGTCGTCCACATAGACCAGAAACAGCACCAGCTTCTCCCCCCCCCCCCCCCTTGAGAAAGAGGCTCTCATCACAGCTGCTGGTCCTGAATCCCATCTCCTCTAAAACAGCTGCCAACTTCTGGTACCAGCAGCGTTGCGCCTGCTTCGAGCCGTGGATGGACTTTTTCAGCTTGCACACCCTGCCCGTACCATCCTCATACCCAGGTGGCTGCATCATGGACACCTCCTCCTCTAAAATCCCGTTGAGGAATGCCGTTGATATGTCCATCTGGATAATGAACTTCCCACTAACGGCTGCATCTGCCAACAAGACACGAAGGGTAGGGGGTTTGGCAGTGGGAGCAAAGATCTCATTGAAGTCCCGCTTCTCCTTCTGCATAAACCCCTTAGCCACCAACCTATTCTTGTAGATGGTGACCTGCCCCTTGTCGTCAGTCTTGATCCTTAGCACCCACTTGCATTGTACCGCTTTCTTTCCCTCAGGCAGCACCATTATTTCCCAAGGCCCATTCTCCAGCAGGTGTCAAACATTATATGTTTGTGTGGTTCTAGGCTGTGGGGGTTCACACCATAGGGGGTACACCAGTTTAGGGTTTCATATTTGTACTGTTGTTCTTGCTAGTCACACACATTCCTGTTTCTCATTCTGACATGGTATTACGAGCCTAGGTTCCACCTAGGACCGGAACGTTAGGGCCCACCGTTTTCGCTAGCCGCGCCCTCGTACGCCGCCTTTTCCTCGCGCCCTCGTGCGCCTCGTTCCTAGCGTCGCCCCTTCAGGCCCCTCACGGCCCCTCGCGTCGCCCCTTACGGCCTCTCACGGCCCCGTCTTAAGACCCCGCACTAGCCCCTTAAGGCCCCGCGTCGGCCCCGCGCTAGCCTCTTACGGCCCCCTATGGCCCCGCGCTAGCCCCGAACGGCCCCGTGTAGCCCCGCGCTAGCCTCCCACGGCCCACCTACGGCCCCGCGCTGGCCTCCTACGGCCCCGATTGGCCCCGCGCTAGCCTCGAACAGCCCCGTGCAGCCCCCGCGCTAACCTCCCACGGCCCCGTAAGGCCCCGCGCTAGCCTCCCACGGCCCCTTCAGGCCCCGCGCTAGCCTCCCTCAGCCCCTTAAGGCCCCGCGCTAGCCTCCTACGGCCCCCAAATGGCCCCGCGCTAGCCCCGACCGGCCCCCGAACGGCCCCTCCCGCGCTCGCCCCTCTACGGCCGAGCCGGACAGCGCGACCCCAGCTGCACCGCGCGACCCGAGCTGAACCGCGCGACCCAGCCGAGCCGCGCCGCCCCAGCCGAGCCGCGCCGCCCTAGCCGAGCCGCGCCGCCCTAGCCGAGCCGCGCCGTCCTAGTCGGGCCGCGCCCTCCTTACCTGAGCAGCAGCACCACTACTGCTACTGCTACTGCTACTACTACCGCTGCTGCTGCTGCTACTGCCACTGCTACTGCTACTTCTGCTACTGCTACTTCAGCTATGGCTAGCCCTCCAGTTCTCTCGTTCGATACTGAGGGCCGCCCAATTAAGTTTGAGACCTGGCTCGATGATCTGCACCTGTTCCTCCAGCTCACTGCCAGAGAGGATATCTCGCTGTACGATCACGCACTAGGCACAGTCCCTCCTCCTGCTACTACTGCTGCTGCTACTGCTCGCTCATAGTGGCAGACTCGCGATGCCCACGCCCGCTTTGCTATTCGCAACTCCCTGCCAAACGACGAGCGCGAGCACTTTGGCCAGCATCAGACTGCGCAGGCCCTGTACACTGCTGTAGTTGCGCGCTACTCCTCCCCGGCCTCAGCTGCACTAGGCCGCCTCTCGCTTCCCTACATGTTCCCCGACCTGTCCGCCTTCCAGACAGTCGCTGACCTCATCACTCACCTCCGCACTAGTGATGCCCGCTTCCGTGCCGCCATGCCCGCTGAGTTTCTTGCCTCCAACCCTCCCCCGCTCTGGCTCACTCTCTACCACCTAGTCACCCGCCTCCCTGACACTCTGCGTACAGTCAGGGACCACTTCCTAGCTCGCTGTCCCACTGAGCTCACCATTACCGCCCTAGAGAGAAACTACTTGCAGCTGAGAAGAGTATTGTAGCTGTAGGTACCTCTCGTGGCGACCCCCGCACCCCTTTCTTCGAGGGGTGTTCCCCCTCCCCCCTGCTCCCCTCTGTCGCCTCTGCTGCTGCTGTCGACCTCCTTGGTGCTGAGCAGGTCGGCTCTGCGTTCGCTCCCAGCGGGCGTCGCAGCGGCAAGGGCAGGGGAGGCAAGGGCGGTGGGGGTGACGGCGGGGGAGGCGGTAGTGGGGGTGGTGGCGGGGCTGGAGGGGCTAGTGGCAGCGGTGGGAGTGGTAGAGGCAGCGGCGGCGGCGGTGGCCGGGGTGGGGGCGGTGGTGGTGGCGGCAGTGGACGTGGAGGCGGCAGGGGCGGTGGTGGTGGTCGTGGAGGCGGCGGTGGTGGTCGTGGAGGCTCTAGCACTGGCCAGAGCGCGCAGCACCCTCAGTCCTCCCAGGAGCTTCGTGAGTGGTACTTACAGCACGGGGGTGGGGGGGGTAGCCTTAGCTGCACGTACGTCATCCGCACTGGTCGCCGCAAAGGACAGACGTGCGGGAGGGCGCACACTGCGCAGCGCTGCTTCTCTCGCCTAGATGACGCGTGGCGTGCTCAGTTTCCTGACGCTCCTGAGCTCCCTCAGTGGGCTGATCTCCTCAAGAAGGATATCGATATCTATGCTCTTGATTTTGATGTTATTCTCAAAGCCATGTATGCATTAACTATTAGTGGAGAGGAGGACCAGTACCTGTGTGTTCCGCCTGACCCAGGCATCCGCACGAGTCAGGCTGCAGCCCTAGGTGCTTGCGTGTCTGCTGCCCCAGGTGCTAGTGAGGCTACTGCTCTAGGTGCTTGTGTGTCCGCCACCCCAGGTACTATTGAGTCCACTGAGGCACAGCACACCTTCACTCTAGACTCAGGCGCTTCGCGCTGTTTCTTTCGTGACCGCACTGCTCTTGAGCCCCTTGCTCGACCAGTCGCTGTCTCACTCGCTGACCCCTCTGGGGGTCCGGTCGTTGCGACCTCCTCCACTGTCCTTCCTTGTCCTGCTGTCCCGTCGGGCACACTGTCAGGTCTCCACCTCCCCTCGTTCTCTACAAACTTGGTGGCGGGTTGTGCGCTTCAGGATGGGGGTGTTCACCAGTTCACCCCTGCCTACGAGCGTGTGACACACTGCACGTGTGCTCGGACGGGCCGTCACCTGGCTACCTTCACTCGGCAGCCGGGGTCGGACCTGTACACACTGACCACTGAGTCCCCTCAAATAGCGGCGTCTGCGTCTGCGTCTGCGTCAGGTCAGCTGTCTGCCCCTTGCTCATGTCGCTCTCTAGCGCACAAGAGACTGTCCTCTGACACCACCGACTTGGTCACCCGTCAGTGCAGCGCCTTCGGGGCATGCACTCCCGGTACCTTGTCTCTGGTCATCCTCGGGTACTCCCTCCCCTCCCACCCTCCCTTGCTCCTGCTTGTCTTCCCTGTGTCGAGGGGCGGCAGCGCGCTGCCCCTCACTCCTCCTCGTTCCCCCCGACGACAGCTCCTTTGCAGACGCTCCACATGGACGTGTGGGGCACAGCCCGCGTTCGTGGTCAGGGCCAGGAGAGGTACTTCTTGATCGTCGTTGATGACTACTCGCGCTACACCACGGTCTTCCCCTTGCGCACCAAGGGTGAAGTCCCTGATGTCCTGATCCCTTGGATCAGCAGAGCACGTCTTCAGCTGCGAGAGCGTTTTTGCTCGGAGTTTCCTGTCCTGCGCTTGCACTCTGACAGAGGTGGCGAGTTCTCCTCTGACCTCTTGGCAGCCTACTGTGCCGAGCACGGCATTCGCCAGTCGTTCACGCTTCCGGCCTCTCCATAGCAGAATAGGGTTGCTGAGCGCCGCATTGGCTTGGTCATGGAGGTCGCTCGTACCTCCTTAGTCCACGCGGCTGCCCCCCACTTTCTGTGGTCGTTTGCGGTCCGGTACGCTGCGCATCAGCTCAACCTCTGGCCCCGTGTCTCCGCTCCGGAGACCTCGCCCACACTGCTGTGGACGGGGGAGGTTGGCGATACGTCACGCTTCCATGTCTGGGGATCCCGAGCTTTTGTTCGCAACACGTCTGCGAAAAAGCTCTCCTCCCGCACTGCTCCCTACGTCTTTCTTGGCTTTGTCCCGGATGCGTCTGGCTGGCAGTTTTACCACCCCGCCTCGCACCGCGTCTTCCCCTCTCAGGACGTTACTTTTGACAAGTCCGTGCCCTTCTACCGCCTCTTCCCCTACCGCACTGCCCCGCTCCCTCCCCCGCCTCTCTTCCTCGCGCCAGGTGCTGCAGTGGTGTACCCCCTATGGTCTGACCCACTACAACCTAGAACCACACAAACATATAAAGTTTGACAGCAGGCTCTGGTACTCAGCATCCCTAGAAGCTAGCCATTTGTCCCTATCTGGTCCAGCTTATGCCTCCTCCATGCCAGCTGGTTCCTCTGGTGCAGGGGCAAGAAATCAGTACGCAGGCTCATCCTCCTCATCCGGATCATTGCCATGCGGTAGAATCAGCAATGCCTCCTCGGTCCCAAGCTGCTACTCAGCTACATCAGCTCCTGCAGTCAGCTTCTTAGTAGCCATACAGGTACGTCCTGGCCTGGAGACGGGTATCTCCCATCCCTTCATAACGACACCCTTCGACTTCTTAATTTTCCCCTGCTGCTGCTCTCTCCCCTCGGATCCAGCAGCTCCACTAATGCCAGTCTCCACATCATTTTCTCCACCAGCAGGTGCCTCTTGTACCTTCTTTCCATCACCACCCTCTGAAGCTGCCTCCTCTCCCTCCTCCCACACATTAGGAGTCAGGTCCAGCTGCATGGTGATCTGCTTCATTTCCTGGGACACCCTGGCCTCCGGCTGTTGCTCCCAGCTCCCATACATCATGCCCTCAACAAACTTCACATCCCTGCTGTCAAACATAACACCCTTGGATGGTTCCCACAGCAGCCATCCCTTGCTCTCAGCAGCCAGCCCCAAATGCACACACCAGATTGCACTCGCCCCCAACTTACTGCGGTAGGTCTTGGGGACGTGGGCGACTGCCATGCAACCGAACACCCTCAGCATGTCCACCGGCGGCTTTCTCCCAAGCCACCTCTCCAACGGCACCCACGAGTCATCCCCAACCTTTGTGAGTACCCTGTTCCTAGCGACGGTAGCGTGCCGAACAGCATGGCGCCACATCAAGTTGCCCAGCCCAGATTCTATGAGCAGCGCCCTAGCTGTCTCCAGAATTGTCCGGTTCGCCCGTTCTGCTACACCGTTGGACTGTGGGGTGTAAGCCGTGGTCAGCTCCCTCTAGATGCCCTGCTTCTTGAGCCAGGCCGTCATCTCAGCTCCAAGGAACTCACCACCCTGATCTGTCCTAATCCGCTTCACCACACACTCCGCTTGCTTCTCCACTAACGGCAGCCAATCGTCCCGAATCGTAGAGGCGGCGTAATCTTTCTGCTTCAGTGGATACGCCCACATTAGCCTGCTCCAGTCATCCACTATGCTACAATTTAGGGGTACAATTTAGGTGAAGGTTGGATGTTATTCGTTTGTATCTGTATGCTACAGGGCCAGGGGAAACTAGCGGAACCAGCATTTGGCTGGTTGGGCAAAGATAAAACAGGTTCTGTTTTTAGGACCTGAACCTGGTTGTTGTTTTCCCGCTCCCCCTTGTGCCCTTGCACCGGCAGCGGCCCCACCAAGTCCATGTGGACCAGCTCCAACGGCTTTTTGCTCCTGCCAGCCACACTATGGAAGGGGAAACGGGTGAACTTTGAAAGGAGGCAAATTTCACAGTTATCATCGGGTGGTTGTCCGTTCAGCTTGAAGCCCTTAACGGCTCCATCCTTCTCCAGCTGCTTCAGCGAAGGCATTGCCACATGCCCCAAACGTCGGTGTGCAGTTGCCCAATCCGTCTCCCCAGATCTGGCCGACACTTTGACACCAACCCCTCAAACGGCGTTGCACCCCCCCTGGGATGCAGACCCCTCTCCAGCCTGCCCCCCACCATGCCACGCCAACGCCGGCTGCTGCCACATGGATCTGTACACGTCCGTACTCTCGTGCAGATCCCAAAGCACCGGATTGCCCAGCTGCCTCTTGTAAGTGCGTACCCCATCCGTGCTAGTGCTTACCCCAGCCTTGCCAAGCTTACGGAGGGAGATAAGGTTGGCCTTTAGTTCAGGAACAAGGAGAACGTCGTGCAGCACCACCGGCTTGCTATCCGCTCCCTTAAACGCAGCTCGTCCCGCACCAGCCACCTTCAGCGCGTGGCCAGAGGCGGAGCACACCTCCTTGATCGGTGCAGCTTGTACGTGGTCCAGTAAGTCTTTTCGCGGCGTCATCGTCCAAGCAGCGCCCGTGTCCAACACCCAATAATCCAGGGGGTGCAGCTCTGCTCCAACCTTGGCAGAGGCGTCTCCTTGCCCCCCCTTGTCTCCCATATGGAAGAATTGGCCCGCGGTGCGCTCCTTCTTCTTCTCCGCACAGCCGTTGCCCTTCGGGTTGTTGTCGGACCAATCAGCGACCATGTTGGCGCCGTTTTTCTGGTTCCTCCGCGCGCCGCCATCCTGGTGACGATTCTGGGGGGTCCATCCATCGGGTTTCTTATAGCACAAAAACCACGGGTGCCCTTCCTTCTCACAATACCAACAACTCCCTTTCATTTTGCCACCAGCACCCGACTTGCCCCCACGTCCAGATTTCGCACCGCGACCCCAACCGGTACCTCCTTGATGGTCGTTGGACTCGTCGTCTTTCTTTGCACCGCGTCCAGCATCACCGAAGCCACGTCCTTTGGCACGTCGGCTCCCTTGCATCATGTAGCTGCTGCTGCCGTCGTCTCCACCCCTCAGTTGACGGCGACGGAAGTCCTCTAGAATCTTTGTCCGCACCCACTCGAGTGTCCACGAGCTCTGGTTCTGCGGCAGGCTCAATCCGCTCGTGAATTGAAGCCACGATTCCGACAGCAGCGAGAGCATCTTCAGGCACTTGGTCTGCTCTGGGTAGGTGATTCCCGCGGTCGCCAACTTCGCGTAGAGGTCGCACAATCCGTCTAGGACAGGTTGCACCGGCTCTCCCTCGCTCAGGCGCAACGCGGACAGCTCCCTCCCCAGCATCAATGTTGCAACAACGGAGGTCGGAGCGTGCAGCTCCTTCAACACGGTCCACGCCTTCGGACCGCACTCAACCTCCGGCAGCAGGTGCATGACGTGGTGACGCTGGTTCAGCTCCAAACTCTCCGACATCAAGTAGTAGCCAGCCGAGGCGCGCTCGTCCCAATCTTCCTGAACAGCGGGGTGACTCGGTCTAGGCTCCTCCCCAATCATTAATTTCAGCAAACCGATCTGACAGAAATAAAGTTGCATTTTCTTGGCCCAACCATCATAGCCCTCACCATTGAACTTCTCGACGGTGAAGTTTTTCTGCACCTCCTTGATCAGCGAGCCGTGACTTGTTCGCGCTCCCCTTGGTGCAGAAACAACAGAATCTTAGCTGCCACTACGATCTTGGGCTGAAGATTCACCAGCTATCGCCGAGGTGTTGCGCGCCATAGCTACCTATATCGAGGATCACTATAACGCAGCTCTGATACCAGCTTGTTGGTGTAAGGGCCTAATAAACTCAAGCTATTAAGACTTTATCAAACTAAAACCTCTCCTCGGGGTCACCTCCAAGGGTCCTTGGGTGCCTGGTACAAGACCAGCCCCTATCCTCGGGTCCAAGTTTGTAGAGAGAGAGATCAAGAGGGACTTAGTCAAAACAGCAAGAATACCTTGAATGTCGCGCAGCGTATCATGCAGACCGTCGATCGGATTAAGCTGAGAATTTCAAAGCTCACTCTAAGAGCTTTAAAATAAGCCATGTTGCCTCGCGAAAAATTCTGCCATTACGAAGTTATGGCTCGGACAGCGTTAGCCTAGCGTTGGAGTGCTAGCGTACTAGCGTACTAGCGTTGACTCGGGTAGCATTCCGCTGTCGCACCGCGTAGAAACGAAATTCCAGCAAGGAAGGAATTCGCTTGAATCATTTTCACTATATCCAGGTACAAACAGAGAAACAATAAATAGTTCGAGCTAGCAAGGACCCTGGGAATCAACCTGGGAACAACCAGGGAGGATCCCAAATAATTCCAAGCAACAGAACCAACCTGGCTAGACAAAATAGCAGGTGGTAGGTTGGTGAACAACCTCTGGTTCTGTTTTTCCAACCTGGGAAAACAACAACCAGGTTCAGGTCCTAAAAACAGAACCTGTTTTGTCTTTGCCCAACCAGCCAAATGCTGGTTCCGCTGGTTTCCCCTGGCCCTCTAGCATGCAGATACAGACAAACAACATCCAACCTTCACCTAAATTGTACCCGTATAGTGCCTGCCCTGCTACACTATAGTCAACCAAACAAAACACTACAATTTCGAGTTGGATATAACTGAATCTGCGAAATCAAGTAGCCGAACCGCAAAGCTTCCATCTTGGGTTCCTTAGCGAGCTCGTCCTTTCTGGTTGTACTGTTCATAGCGCGTACAATGTTATGCCGAAGTGCACAATGCGCGAGTACGTGCAAATGCTTCAAGCGAAAATTGCGAAAGCAAACAAACACACGAAAAATTCCATTCATACCCAAATGCATTCGCACACGCATACTCGTAGAAACAGACGGCAGGATGTCGTGCAATGGGAATTCGCACCCAACACACATTCCCCCTCAGCCTGCCGGCTGCATCCCCATCATTCCATACTAGTTCATGCTCATTCCACTTATGCGCACACAACGCCAATGAGGCTCATCCGCAAGCCTCTTGGTGAGGAAGTCTGCTGGCTGCTGGTGAGTCTTGATGTAGA